ATTACTTGATTTTCATATTGAATATTTAGCATATTTAAAAATTCAGTTGAATGTCTAATAGCAGAGCTTGGTTCAAAAATTGTATCTTTATATGATACAAACACATGGCCATTATAAAATGACCCAGAAATTTCATTAAGAATAGATATAAAAAAAATTACAGAGGGTGTTAAAGATAATTTTGAAAAATCGTGATCAGCGGCTGCTAAAATACTTTCTTGTCCAACTATTGAACATTGATTTCGTACACCTGTAAAAACTGCAACTTCTTCTTCGATAGGAACTTTATGCTTATCATTTGCAGAAATTAAACAAGTTCATTGATGGTATTTAATACAAAATTCTCTGAGATATCGAAAGAGTGCAGCACAATAATGTGTATCTTTACTATTTTTTAAAGCATCCGACCCTGTACTTTAAATTTAACATTAAACTGACTAGTATAATATGCAGCCCACATTGTGGTAGCATTCATAAGGCAAAATTGAAGGTGAATCTATTCATCGAATAGAATATTAATATTAGAAGGTAAAGGATCGCTATAATTAACTTTTAATCTTTCTATTATAGTTTCACGAAAGTTACGAATTGACAAGGCTAATGGCATATATAAAATAGTTCTATATTACTGTTCATTTACTGCAAGACAGTTCTAAAGAAATAGATATTTACAACATAACATAATCAATATGAGTGACGCCAAGGGAAAAGGTACTCTAATCATATAAAATTTATATGATTAGAGTATCTGCATTACTCATATAGTAAGCAAATATAAAATATACCTGTTCATTAAAGTAGGCATCAGTTTCGTCCCAAAATGCATTAAATTTCGTTCTTTTAAATCCATTATTTGTTCGCAAGTCAAACACAATATTAGGATCTTCTAACATTAACATTAAGCATAACCTCTCTTCTACATCACGACTGATTGTATCTGAAGTTACCGCAGCATTACCAGTAAGATCAAGATGGAGTATTCGTAATACTGCTAGCATAACTTTCCGAATATAGGAATACTAAAACACAAAAATTATAATGATAATATATACATTCAATGTTTTAAATATTATTTATATTATCTTACCTTATTAAGCACATTTTTATGCATTTGTCATGTAAAGTAATGGGGTAATTCTTTGTGAATTCTAGCTAGCATACGTGCCTTCAACGTTTCATATTGCCTATTATTAAGTACTTCATTGTCTGGGACTCTCTATACATAATTGATTGTACCCAAATAATTTCTTTGATAATATCTAAAAAATAAAATAGCGATAATATAAATTAGATAAAACGCATACTAAATTTTGATATGATTACTATCAAAAAAAAAGCAAAAAAATCTTTAAAAACTTTAAAGATTTTTTATTTGCGGCATTTATGTAATATCACTATATTATTGTATAGCAAAGGTACAAATACTAACCTGTATATACTAATTGGAAATATAAGTTGCAACTCTTTTATAA